AAAATGCTTGTTCGTTTTCGAGGTGGTTGACTACTGTGAGATTTGGGCACGTGAGATTTATCTTGACATTGGAAATTTCATTCCTTTCTCTTTCCCTCAGAAAGCCCAAGAAAGCAAAGGGGAGGGAAGCTGTGGACAAAACTTCAAGGGCTTGACCTGGTATCAATTGAGGCTTTTGCTTAGTACTTTACTCACATACCAACTTCTAAATTAAAGATTACAGTGTGGAATTTAAGGATTGAAACACAAAGTAAGAGCTTACAGTTAATCTCTCTTTCAACTCTTTCTGAATATACACTCTTTGGAGAGAAGTCTTATCACTGTAAATAATGCTTTTATCTCAATGCCAAGTGATATTTCATTTTGATCTAGGAAGCCAGGGTTTGGATATTTATTTCTTTTGGAAAAGTGTTAACATTTTGTGTTGCTGAATTAAGAAAGTCACTTGTGATAAAGAAAACCTCAAGTGCAGCTCTTCCCCACTGTCCTAAAACCCTATCAAGACCCCACATGTCTGAGAGAAGGAAATTGTACCTTAAGGCTTAGCACAGAAGTCATAAAGGCTGGTTTCCTTTAAAGCTGGGCTGCCAGCAGCCTGCAAGTGAGGATGGTAGGGAATGTTGAAACGTAAAGTTCATCTCTAACATGTAGGGGGTTCACACACAACTGTTCTGAAGGCTAATCTTTAGTGACAGATGCAGAGACAGGAGACTCAAGTGTTATTAGGAAAACTCAAGCCTTCTTCCATCCTAAGCCCTTTTAGCTTTCATTTTAGGCATCAGCCAGTCATTGCCAAGTGTATGTCTGAAGGGACTGATCCCAGCTATTTCAAAGGGTCTTCTTTTGCTTGTTGTTGTCAGGGCATCACGCAGTGTTCTATTCTGTGATATATTTTATTTTATTTTTTTGTTTTGAGACAGAGTCTCACTCTGTTGCCTGCCTGGGCTAGAGTGCCGTGGCGTCAGCCTAGCTCACAGCAACCTCAAACTCCTGGGCTCAAGCAATCCTCCTGCCTCAGCCTCCCGAGTAGCTGGGACTACAGGCATGTGCCACCATACCCGGCTAATTTTTTCTCTCTCTATATATTTTTAGTTGTCCAGATCATTTCTTTCTATTTTTTTAGTAGAGACGGGGGTCTCACTTTTGTTCAGGCTGGTCTCGAACTCCTGACCTTGAGCGATCCACCCGCCTCGGCCTCCCAGAGTGCTAGGATTACAGGAGTGAGCCACCGCACCCAGCCTGTGATATATTTTAGATATACCATAATGGTCACAGATATCAGTGATCCTAATGATTTTTTCCTCCAGTTAATGTCCACATGGATTTGTGGGATGAAAGCTCATAAAGCTAAGAGGTAATCCTCACTAGATGTAAGTTAAATATTACGTTGTTTAAACTTTTGATGCCTCAATTTCCACATCCATAAATGGAGATTCAAATCTCTTCCTGCCTTATTGGGGATGTTTTCATGGTCAAAGGATGATTAGATGTCAGATCTTTTGAAAAACTAGCATCCTGATTATGGTAGAAACATGACGCTCACCCACATCGAGTGTATCTTCATGGGAGGATTCCTCCTCCTGATTCCCCTTGCAAATGGACAGGTCATGTGACGCTTTCTGGCCAGTGGGTCATGGTTGAACATGAGTCACTTCTGGGCCACACCACTTCATTGCTGGTGTGAGACCATTTAGGTCTCTCATCCCTGCCATGGCGATTGTGGAAATGTTTAAGTCTGGAAATGTTCCACAGTTCAGAGCTGTCTGAAATGCTAAGGCAACACAGGGAAGATATTTATCCAGGAAAGGTGCCTAGACCAACAGTAGGCTTCGAGTAAACAAGAAATAGACCAATACAGTAGTTCCCCCTTATCCAAGGTTTCACTTTCTGCAGTTTCAGTTACTTGTGGTCAACCTCGGTCTAAAAACATTAAATTGAAAAATCCAGAAATAATTCATAAGTTTTAAATTGTGGGCAATTCTGAGTAGCATGATGAAATCTTTTGCTGTCCTGTTCCATCCTGTGCAGAACATGAATCATGCCTTTGGCCAATGTATCCGTGCTGTGTATGCTACCTGCCCATTAGTCACTTAGTAGGCATCTCCGTTATTAGAGCATGATGGCATTGCAGTGCTTGTGTCCACGTCAGTGGTAGCCCAGCGCCATGTCACAGTGCCAATGCCATTCACCTCACTTCATCTCATCATGTAGGCATTTTATCATCTCACATTATCACAAGAAGAAGGATGAGTACAGTACAATAAGATATTTTGAGAGAGAGACCACATTCACATAACCTTTATTAGAGTATATTATCATAATTGTTCTATTTTATTATTATTGTTAATCTCTTACTGTGTCCAATTTATTTATCAAACTTTATCATTGGTATGTATGTATAGGAAAAAACATGGTATAATAGGTTTTGGTACTATCCGAGGTTCTAAGAATCCACTGGAGGTTTTGGAATGTATCCCCTGAGGATAAGGGGGCACCACTGTACTGTGTCAGATCACCAAGACTGAGGGCTTGTTTGTTATGGCAGCACAGCATAGCCTATCCAGACTACTCTAGGTATAAAGAAGTCTTAAATTTATTATTATGATTAATAGATATCACCTAGCTCCCTCCTAATTATTTACTATTAATTTGCTGCTGTGCTGTTTTGTGACACCTAATGGATTTGAATCTGATTACTTTGACTCTTTTCCCATCCTCCCACCCCCAAGAATTTCTAACGTCTTATTGGTATAACCTGAAGGAACAAACTGTGTTAGCAGTCATAACATATTAGCAGTGAAAACATGAAGGATGGAAGCTAAGTTCAAGGAATACTGTGTCTGGCATATAATGGGTACTCAACAAATGTTTATTGACAATTGGAAGAGAAATTGGTTGATGTGGCTGTTACCACTGATGTCAGGTGGCAAAATCAGGTAAACCTTTAGATCTCCTCTTCCTTGACCTCACAGGCAGAGTTTGGTGTATTTCATCACTCCCTCTTTCTGGAAGCTCTCTTTGATTCTTGGCTTCCAGGACATCAGAATCTTCTAGTTTTCCTCCTGTCCCAGTGGCCACTCCCTGGTCTCCTTTGCTGAATCCTTTTCTTCTTGGTGTCTAAGTATCAATACTAGAGTACCCTAGAGCTCAGTCTCTGGACTTCTCCTTTATTTGAGTCTCTCAGTCGTATCTGTTCTCTGTTTTACTATTGAGTGATTTCTTTTTATTGATTTATACATTCTCTTTTATGTAGTGAGTAGTAACCCTCTTTCTATCCTACATTGCTGATAATTTTCCTCATCTGTCAATAGATTTTTACTTATTTATGATTTTTCCATATAGACAATTTATATTTTTATGTAATCAAATATGTCACTCATTTTTTCTTTAGGCTTTTGGAGATGTTGAGGATCCACCAATGTGTGAAGTGGTTATGCTTAATATACGAGTGGTCTCTATGTTAAAGCTGTTTCTCTTTGTATAGCAGGGCCATGTTGCTCATCTGTCATTTTTTGGCCATGTTCTTTGGGTTATGTAACTGTGTGGTGAAAGGTCAAGTCACTCCAATCCATAATATTGCCAATTATCCTTGTTCCTATAGTAATCATCTGTTGCTGTGTAAGAAAGTACTCTAAAATGTGGTGCAAAGCACCAATAATCACTTATTATCTCTCGTGGTTTCTATGGGTCAGGAATTCAGAAGTGGCTTGGCTGGGCAATTCTGGGTCAGAGTCTCTCTTGAGTTTATAGTCACATGTTGGCTAGGGCTGTGGTTATCTGAAGGCTCTTCTGGGGCTGGAGGATTTATTTCTAAGGTGACTTACTCACATGGCTGGCAGCTGACTCTGGCAAGCTGGTCGCTGTCCATGTGGATCTCTTTACGGGGCTGTTTGAGTCCTTATGACATAGTGCTTGGTTTTTCCCAGAGCAGTTAATCCAAGAGACCAAAGCAGAAGCTCCTGTGTCTTTTATGACTTAGCCTCAGAAGTCCCACATCATTGTTTCCACCTAATACTGTTGGTTACATGATAGGCCAGCCCTGCTTCAATGTGTGTGTTGGGGTGGAGGGGACTACAAAGGTGTGAACACCAGAAGGTGACATCATTGGTGCCATAGTGGGGGCTGGCTACCACGGTAACCAAAGAAGCATTATTTATTTGAGATGTTTTCTTGGGTTTGATAGACACTTTTAAACTGAGAATGCAGGAATGCCAACTGATGAATACTGGGTTTGATCAAAAGCGCTGTTAACTTTACAGTGTACTCAAGCAGAAAGCAGGAAGGAAATGGATGAGTTTTTGCGGACTGCTTGAATAAGGCCCTCAAACTGGAAGGGGCCTGAGATTGCCCTGATGTGGTACCTTCTGGTATACGTTTTGGGACTAATGTTATTCTTGATTTTCCACTTCCTCCATATTCTCTGAATCTAAATGTTTTGAAGAAAATGAATTAGACAGAGGCAAGAAAATGTTTAAGGTGGTGTAGAAATGGCTGCTAATAATAGCAATAACTATTTTATTTGTTGAGTGTTTGTTGTGTACCAGATATGTCCCAGACCATTTTCATAAGTGGTATCTTATTTAGTCTTTCTACTGACCACTGATGGAAAGTGATATCCCCATTGTAAGTATGACAAACCTGGTACTCAGAATAATTTATCCAAGGTCATGCAGTAAATGGTTGTATATCTCTCTGCCATGGTTAATCTACTACCTCTCACTGTATTCCATTGATGTAAGCACACACACACACACACACACACACACACACACACACACACACAATGTTTTGGCATCAGAAAGTTGAAAAGCAGTATAGTTGTGTAGTATCTGGAAGGATCTGTCAAAGGTAAAAGATCCAGGAAAATGTAATCCCAGATACAAAAACACTCTGAAACTGAAAAGTGCTTTATAAATTTAAGGTGGCAGTGTTATTAATATTATTCAGCTCAGAGTAGTAAGAAAATGAATCATGTATAATTCTTCATTTCTTCTTTAGTCAGATTACAGCAGAGCACCTGCCCATTAATCCTGATCCTGTTAAAACAATAACTGCCTATCCAGGCAATACATTGAAATTAATGTGTAATTAAGGAAAATTATCATTGCTTGGCTATGAAATGGGAATAGCAGTATTTCAAGTCAATATATATTATAGACCAATACATGTTTTAGATTAGGAAACTCTGTTGTATAATTTAGGAAGATATTAAATCATCAGTTTAAAATTAAAGCATAAAAAGCTTTATGGCTGTAAAAGCATTTTGTTGGAACGTCAATATGGTATCATATTTGTCTTCAACATGAAGACATTGCCTTTCTGACAACCACTATTTAAAGAAAATGGCCTTGGGAATGGGGAAAGCATGTTTCTCATGGATTTTTCCCCTCTTTGATATGATCCTGGGTGGCGTTAACACATTAGCGATGAACTCAGATGATGGTCTTGAGGGCGAGGGATGATATGTAGCCCTCATTACAATGTCTTGGCGCCTGGCCCATAGACACCAGCAGCAAGAGCCTTGATTTCATTTTAAAAGGAGTTAGAAGAATGTGAAGAAGGTCACGGCCATCAATCTGTTATCACTCTGCTAGATAGGATCTCTTTAAGGAGGTGCAGCAAACATATTTTAAAACCTCCAGTGAAGGCCCCCAAATGATGACGTTCATCTTGCCACTTCCTAATGAAAGTGTGCGATCTCTGAAACAGAGCTCACAAGCACTGCACAACAAAAATTGTCTGA